CACAACTGTTAACTGCTCCGTGTGATTACTCACTCGTGCCACCCACGTTAGATTATAAATGGATGAGGCAGGGATGTGTCTCATGGATCATTGCCTGCCAGGGCCTAGTCGGCATCTGGCGCACAGTAGGTGCTCGACAACGGAATGAATGACTGAATGAGTGAATGATCACCCTACAGAGGTGCCATCGTGTCTCCCCTTGGCCGGTGACACAGGAGGCCCCCTATGAAGCGCGGCCCCGCCCAACGTGCCCCCACCTGCCCATATATGGACGCAGCCCCTGACAGCACTGGCTGGGGTCTGTGAGGTCAGGGCCCCTGCCACCTCACAATGCCCAGAGATGCCCCTGGTTTCTATAAGAGGCCGAGGAGTCCGCCCCTGGCTCACAGCCCACAAAGTTCCACCTGCTCACAGGTTGGCTGGCTCAACCAAAGTGGTGCCCCCTGCTCTAAGCGTCCAGGCCAAGTCCATCGGGCACCATGGCCAGATACAGTTGCTGCCGCAGCCGCAGCCGGAGCAGATGCCGCCGCCGCCGGACACGACGCAGATGCCACAGACCAAGGAGGCGATGTGGTCGAAGGCGGACGAGAACGAGAAGAGGTAAGGAGGGTGCATGGCCGGCTCGTGGGGGGGCAAAGGGCTCGGAGGACACTGACACTCTTAACCCATTTTTGTTCCTCCCAGGGTGCCGCCGCAGATACGGTCTGAGGCGTAGAAGATACTAAATGCACAAAATAGCAAAGTCCACCGAAACTCCTGCCTGAGAATTTTACCAGACTTCAAGACCCTCTTGCCACATCTTGAAAATGCCACCATCCCAATGAGATAAACAGGAGCCTGCTGACAAACAATGCCGCCTGTCAATAAACATTGAAAACCGTTCTAGTCTGGTCTCTCTGCTCTGAGGTGGAGCTCAGGAGAGGGAGTGGGGACTACAAGTTGGGGGAGAAAACCTGTCAGTTAGAAATCAGCTTGCATTAGAAATCAAGGGTTAAGGACTGGAGTTAGGAGACGGCTGGGGACTTGAAGGGGAAAAGGTGCTGTGAAGGGGGGCTTGACGGTTGTCACGCTGGATCTTGTTCCAAAGTCTTGACAGCACTACTTCGGAGTCAGAGCCAGAATCCACCTCCCCAAACCATCCGTTTATGGATCCCTGCCCAGTGGAGGCACTGGAGCCAGGCTGAGTGTGCACATCAACTCCCAACCTTGCATTCAGTGACTTCATGTTGGCAGGTTGAAATGGGCCACAGTGGGAGAATTTACACCACAGAAATCAGCAAACACTACCAGTCAGAGCTGCTCCCTGCCTGCCCACCCCGAGGGACAGTTAGAACATTTATCAGCTCATTGCTATTCTGCCTGTATCACTGCACGGCCTGTATCACACCTGTCCCTGAAGTTAAAATGGAAACCCACTCTTCAAAAGTTCCCTGTTATAAATCAAGTCAGTCACCATCAGGAAATTAAGTTTAATCCTAAGTGAGTGTTCACAGCACCCTATGTCAGATTTGCATCTCCCTTTGGATACAAAGATGTTAAGTTGCCCAGGTAGCGGCTGAGCTAGGCTTTCCTATTTCTCTAGCTCTAGCCCCTCTGGTCTGACTCTAGTCCACACTCCACCCATGACACTGCCTACACCAAAGTTTCCAAGGCAAGAGAGCTCAACCTCCCCTTCTGAGATGTCGAGACAGTCCACCAGTCAGTCGGAAATGGACAACAACCCAAACACAGGAAAGCCTGCTGGAGACTGGTCTTTGGCATAGTCAGTCTAGAAAAGTCTGATATTCGCATCCTTTGGCTGGACTCTGGGCACCATCATCCATGGTGGCAGAGCAAAGCCTAGAGCACTTCATCAGTGACAGGGCCTCCCAAGCAGCCTAGAAATGTCAAGGCCACAACTTCCATTTATCTAACACCCAATAGTTCCACGTACTCTGCCGCCATCACCTCTAGCCCTCACACCAACATAGCAAGGAGGTATCAATACCCTCCTCCCATTGTTTCAGGTGAAGACCCTGAGGCTCATAGCGAGCTGATCCTGCTTCCACAGCCCCCATCCCTAGAGCAATGGCTTCCCATACCCAGACCGAGGATGCCACCAGGCTGGTTGAACACAGAACTCTCTACTTACCTTCGGTTTCAGTTACCCGAGGCCAACTGGTCTGAAATATAGTACCATAAGCTATTGAGAGAGAGAGACCACATTCACATAACTTTTATTACGGTACACTGTTATAACTGTTCTATTTTTTATTAGTTATTATTGTTAATCTCTTACTGTGCCTAATTTATAAATTAAACTTTATCATAGGTATATACGTATAGGAAAAAACATAGTATCCATAGGGTTCACTACTATCTGCAGTTTCAGGTGTCCTCTAGGAATATGCCCTGTGGATAAGGGGGGACTACTGTAGCTTTAAAAACACATCTTCAAGCTCTAGCCATAGAGATTCTGATTTAGCAGGGCCTGGAATAAGGTCTGGGCATTTATATTGTTAACACTAATAAAGTACCTTCTTACACAAAAGGCCACCACCTGTCTGTCCGTTTGTGTACTGTGGTGTTTGCGTGTTACTACGATGCTGGAGGCTACGCCACCAGTATTTCACATGCCAGCAGAGTCACCCATAGTGGACAGGTTTCAGCAGAGCTTCCAGACTAAGTCAGCCTGGGAAGAAAAGCCTGGTAATCTACCATAGTTTACACAAATAATGCGCACATTACAAAACCCCACGTGTTATTTTCATAAGTGCACTATCGTTTTATGTGTAGGCGCATTTATTCATGTGGGCACACGATTTGCGAAAACATATAGTACTTTTGAAAATTAGCCAGTGAAAACATTATGGATAACAATAGAATATGCTCTGACTCGCTTGCTTTGGCTACATCATCAGGAGGGATCAATCGCTAGAGGAAGACATCATGTTTGAAGTAGAGGTCAGACAGGGCGAGGGAGGCCTCAATGAGATGGACTGGCACAATAGCCACAATGGACTCGAACACGCCCGTGACTGTGAGGGTGACAGCAACATTTCATTCTGTTGTACATGAGGTCACCATGAGTCAGAGCTGATTCGATGGCACCCATCCATCTATCTATCTGAACGCAAAAGGAAGGCAGCATATGAACACCAGGGGAACAGAGAGACTAACCCTTGCTTCCCGGGAGGGTTGGAAGATTAGGCCCTCTGTATAAGGAGCCCTGGTAGTGCCGTGTTTAAGCGCTCAGCTGCTAACTCAAGTCGGCAGTTTGAACTCACCAGCTGCTCTTTAGTAAAGATTACAGCCTCGGAAACCCTATGGAGCAGTTCTACTCAGTCCTATAGGGTCGCTGTGAGTCAGAATCAACACGACGGCAATGGGTTTCGTTTTTGGTTTATTAGGTTCTTAAGGAGCCCCGGTGGTGCAATGGTTAAGTGCTCAGCTGCTAACTGAAAGGTTGGCAGTTGGAACTCACAAGCAGCTCCCCAGGAGAAAAGACCTGGCAATCTGCTCCCATAAAGATTACAGACTAGGAAACCCCATGAGACAGTTCTTCTCTGTCCTATAAAGTTGCTATGAGTTGGGATTGACCTGACGGCATACAACAACAATAAGATTAGGTTCCTATTGCTGCTGTAACAAATTAACACAAACACAGTAAAATGAGACACATTATCTGACAGACGTGGAGGTCAGACTTTCGACATGTGTCTCACTGGACTAAAATCAAGGTGTCGGTAGGGCTGCATTCCCTCTGAAAGTTCTAGGGGAGAATCCATTTCTTGCCTTTCCCAGCTTCTAGAAGCCACCTGCATTCTTTGGCTCGCAGTTCCTTCCTCCATCTTCAAGGCCAGCAGCATAGCAGCTTCAAATCTCTCTCTCTCACCCTGGCTCTCCTGCCTTCCTCTTGCACTTATAAGGACCCTGTGGTGACACTGGGCCCACCTGGATAATCCAGGATCATCTCCCCATCTCAAAATCCTTAACTTAAATCACATCTGCAAAGTCTCTTTTGTCATATAAGGTGACATATCCACAGGTGCTGGGGACTAGGACGTGGACACTTATTTAGGGAGGGTATTACTCTGTCTACCACACCCTCCTTGCCCTCCACAAAAGAGAAGCAGGTTTTTCAGGTGCTATGATTCTGACTGTGGACTTTAATGGAATCATCAAAGAATTCTGAGTGGCACAGGAGAAGGGCAGAGTTGGAGGGAAGATGATGCTATGCTGGAGGTGGGAAGAGTCCCCCTGGGCTGGGAAGGAGCGGAGAGTTAAGGATATGGACTCTGAAGCTACATAGGCTTCATCTCAACCCTGGCTCTGCCCCTTAGTAGCAGGGTGACCTTGGGCAAGTCATATAACCTCTTCTGGGCCTCAGTTTCCCCCTCAGAAAATGGAGATGATAACAGTGAGTAAATGAATGAATGCATGGAAAGTAAATGAGTAAATGGGCCCATAGTAACCACTGGGTATCCCTTCACTATTACTGTTACCACTGTTATCATTGCAACAGTCAATGTGTGGATAACCAGTAACACAGGCCCCTTCCACACACACACATTGCCGCCGTATTCAATCCCAGATGGTGGCACAGCTCCAGAGGAGGGCAGGAGGTGGCGAAGCTTCAGGAAAGACTACGTGGGCCTTCTGGCAGCTGGACAGGATGCGGACTTGGGTTAGGAAAATAAAAAGCTGCTTGAAGGGACCAGAGACATGTTTACAGGCAAAAGGCAACAGAGCCCCCAGCCTGGGTCCCAGGGCCGCTGGCTATGGCCCCACCCTGTGATGCCCTCTGTTGCCATCACAGAGGGTGCTGGGCAGGGTGGGGACAGTGATGGGGCGGGGCCGCCGAATCATAGTGGGGGGCCCCCTTTATATACGAGCCCCCGGAGAGCCCTGAAAACCAGACCAACATTAACACCAAGAGCAGGTGGGCAGGCCTCAGCCCTCCTTCCCCCTCCAAGGTCAGCTGCAGCCTCTGCCGACGAGCGGCCTGATCTTTGAAAAAGATGGTCCGATACCGCGTGAGGAGCCCGAGCGAGCGTCCGCATCTGGTGTACAGGCAGCAGGGCCACGGGCAGCAGCAAGGATGTGAGGACCAGGAACCCGAGCAGGGGCTGAGCCCGGAGCGCTTCCAGGTCTCTGGAAGGACCCACAGAGGCCACCACTACAGGCGCAGGCGCTGTTCCCGGAGGAGGCTGTACCGCGTCCACAGACGGCGGCGGCGCTCCTGCCGCAGGCGCCGGAGACGGTGCTGCAGGCGCGGGCATCGCAGAGGTGGGCTCACCTGGGTCCCCTACCCAGCCCCTCGCCCCCTCCCTGTGCCCCCGATGCCCCCAAGGCTCTCTGCAGTGGTGCCACTGCACAGAGGGCAAGCGAGGGGCCCCGACCCCTTGTGACAGCCTCCAAGAGGGAAAGACCCCAAGTTCCCACCCCACCCCGACTCCCTGGATCACCCCTCAACCAGCACTTGTCTTTCCCAACAGGCTGCAGAAGGATAAGGAGGAGGAGAAGATGCAGAAGGTACTAAACCTTCCCGGGCCCATCACCCCTGGCTAGGAGTTAACGACAAGTCATCTGCCAAAGAACCACCAAGCGAGGCCGTAGCCATCCCCCCACGCTGGATGCCCAAGCCCTGAGTCGTCAAGGAGCCCACAAGATCTGAGTAAAATGCACACAAGTCACCTGCCAAATAAAGCTTGACAAGAAACTTGCTGGCCTGCCTGAGTCTCCTTTGTGCACACAGGGCACCTGGCTTTCCCCTGGGTGGGTGAGGCGCAGCCTGTGCTCGTGGGCCCAAGGAGGGGACAGTGGGATGGGGATGCCATGCGCTGACACTGTCTGTGTCCTCACTCACCACAAGCCAGGGCTTGACGCCATGCTGCCCCTCCTTGACGACCTTCCCGTTCCCTCGTCCCCTCCCCAGGGGTCTTTAGCCAAGGCCAGGCTCAACCTGAAGAACCTTACGCGGCTCAAGAAAGGGAGGAAAATTCTCACAGGTGTCCAGAAAAGTCTCCTCATGGCCATCTTGACAGAGCCTACTGTGTGCCAAGCACGGTTTTGAAACACTGGAGAGCTAACAGTGAAGAACAAGTCCCTGCCTCATGGGGCTGACACTCCAACGAGCAGACAAAGCAGGAGGGTAGTGCTTGGTGTTGGGTGGCTGGGAGACCATCTCAGGGTGGCATTTGGGCAGATCTGAAGACCCCAGGTTGGCATTTGGGCAAAGGCTGGAATGAAGTGAGTTGTGGGAGAATCTTGTGACAGAGTCAGCAGAGGGAACAATAAGGGCAAAAACCTTGAGGTGGGAAGCAGGTATGGTGTGCCCCAGGAAGAGCAACGAGGTCAGTGTGGCTGGAGCAGAAGCAAAAAGGCAAGGGGCAGGAAGAGGAGCCGGTACACGATCTGTCAGCCTCTGGAATGGTCTGAGATGGGATGCTGCATTAGTTTCCTATGACCACAAACTTGGCTTAAAACAATTTTATTCTCACAGTTCTGGAGGCCACAAGTTCGAAATCAGTATCACTGGGCAGAAAACAAGGTGTTGGCAGGATCTCACTCTGGAGGCTCTAGAGGAAAATCTATTCCTTGCCTCTTCCAGCTTCTGGTGGCTGCTGGTGGTACTGGGCTGTGGCCGAATCTCACTCCCATCTCTGCCTCTGCGGTCACATTGCCTTCTCTTCTGTCATATCTCCCTCTGCCTCCCTCTCAAGGACAACTGTGCTTGTATGGGGCCCAGCTGGATAAGCCAGCTCAAGATCCAGAATCACATCTGCAAAGTCTTTGCCATATAAGGTTCCCAAGTTCCAGGCTCAGACCCAGATTCCAGGCATTGTTAGGTGCTGTTGAGTTGGTCCCGACACATAGTGACCCTACACACAACAGAATGAAACACTGCATGGCCCTGCCCCATCCTCACAATCTGCTATTCTTGAGCCTACTGTTACAGCCACTGTGTCAATCCATCTCGCTGAGGGCCTTCCTCTTTTTCACTGACCCTCCATTTTACCAAGCATGATGTCCTTCTCCAGGGACTGGTCCCTCCTGATAACATGTCCAAAGTATTGAGACAAAGTCTCACCATCCTCACTTCAAAGGAGCATTTTGGCTGTACTTCTTCCAAGACAGATTTGCTTCTTCCTCTGGCACTGGTATATTCAGTATTCTTCCTCTGGCACTGGTATATTCAGTATTCTTCACCAACACCATAATTGAAAGGCATCAACTCTTCCTCGGTCTTCCTTATTCATTGTCCAGCTTTTGTATGCATATGAGGTGACTGAAAATACTATGGCTTGGGTCAGGCGCACCTTAGTCCTCAAAGCTTTTCAGCACTTTAAAAGAGGTCTTTTTCAGCAGATTTGCCTGACACAATATGTCGTCAGATTTCTTGACTGCCGCTTCCATGGGTGTTGATTGTAGATCCAAGAAAAATGGAATCCTTGACAATTTCAATCTTTTCTCCATTTATCATGATGTTGCTTACTGGTCCAGTTGTGAAGATTTCTGTTTTCTTTAGGTTGAAATGCAATCCATACTGAAGGCTGTGGTCTTTGATCTTTACCAGTTTAAGTGCTTCAAGTCCTCTTCACTTTCAGCAAGCAAGGTTGCGTCATCTGCATAACGCAGGTTGTTAATGAGTCGTCCTCCAATCCTGATGCCATGTTCTTCTTCATATAGTCCAGCTTCTTGGATTATGTGCTCAGCATACAGACTGAATAAGTACGGTGAAAGGATACAACCCTGACGCACACCTTTCCTGACTAAACCACACAGAATCCCCTTCTTCTGGTCTATGTACAGGTTCCTCATGAGCACAATTAAGTGTTCTGGAATTCCCATTCTTCGCAATGTTATCCATAATTTGTTCTGATCCACACAGTCGAATGCCTTTGCATAGTCAATAAAACACAGGTAAACACCTGTCTTATATTTAAGCCAAGATCCACCTGACATAAGCAATAATACCCCTTATTCCACGTCCTCTTCTGAATCCAGCTTGAACTTCTGGCACTTCCCTGTTGATGTACTACTGCAACCGCTTTTGAATGATCTTCAGCAAAATTTTACTTGAGTGTGGTATTAATGGTATTGTTCGATAATTTTTGCGGTCTGTGGATCACCTTTCTTTGGAATAGGCATACATATGGATCTCTTCCAATCTGCTGGTCTGGAAGCTGTCTTCCAAACTTCTTGGTAGAGACGAGTGAGCACTTCCAGCACTGCATTCACTTGTTGAAACATCTCACTTGGTATTCCAACAATCCCTAGAGCCGTGTTTTTTGCCATTGCCTTCAGTCCAACTTGGACTTCTTCCCTAAAGGGTATGCTAGCTCCTGAAATGGTTCAACGTCGATCAATTCTTTTTGGTACAGTGACTCTGTATATTCCTTCCATCTTTTTTTTTTTTTTTTTAATTATATAGCATTTTATTTTACAATTTTTTGTTATTTTCATAGAATACATTTTCACATTAGAGATGCCCAAAGTAAGAAAATAACAGTTTGTTACATCATAGTTTTATATTTATAAGAAGATTAGTTAAGGACACTTGAAGGAGAAGTCTCAGTTTAGAATCTGTAATATTTTAATACATCTACAAGGGGACTTCTTCTCTAAATGGAACTTCTCTATATTCAAAAATTCTCCAAGCTCTTTCTCCCAGGATTTAGAAATTAGTAATGTGAGATATCAGCATTTTCTAATTTTAAAAGCTTCCCTAGGACATGTAACCACCAGTAGTTGGCATCAACTGCACAGAGGGGGAAGTTTTTCAAAATCTTTATTTACGAGTTAACAGTCTTTCCCATTGTCCATCATTCCCAGAACAAATATGGAAGAGGTTTGATCATAATGTGTTGATAGTAATAAACTGAATTCCTATTAAGAGACTGGTAAATTAAAAAGCAAAAGCTCATACATGTTTAGTTATACTGTGAGTCTTGTAAGAAGTTAAGAGACAATCCGAGTATCTCACCAGAATACAGAACTCGGTCTCACCATTTTGTGAATATAATTCCTCTCAAACCTTTTCCTCAGAGATTAAATTCTGAAAATAACCATGTGACTAGGAGAAGAGGGTTGTCTCACCAATGGACATATCTGTTATTTCCTCCTTATTGTCAGCTGAATGGCAGGACAGAGCAGAGGCAAAGAGGTGTACAATCATTTTTTAAGGCATTAGGCCAAAAAAGTCAGAGCTTCCACGGCATGGCAACAGCTTTGCAGATGCCCACATTGTGACACTCGAAATAACAAAGACCAGCAAAGGTTAAAGCTGAGTGTGCCAAGAGGCCTGCCTTGGCAGTTTTCTGTGATGCATCCCATGGACATAGTAACAACTTGTCCAAACCCCAGTGACTACGGAGAATAAGGCCTGCAGCCAGAAAGTAGTCCATCACAGAGCAAGGATTCAAATAAGCAGCTGGGAGCAGGTCCAGCAGCAAAACACCGACAACCCTCTCACCAATCCAGTGGAGAGATGCAGCCTTGGAACCAGAATGGTGGCCGGGGGACAGGTGAATGTGCAGCACTCCTGGGGTAGACTGGTCCTGGAGAAATGGGCAGACATGGGCAGGTCTGACCACCAGGATTCAGAGGAACAGAGCTCAGGCTCCTTGGGCAACACAACGCAGAAGACACTCAGCCTCCAGAGCACCGCCATCTCAGTCCTTAGGGCTCCTCCTTCCATCTTCTTTTGATGCTTCCTGCATCGCTCAATATTTTTCCCATAGAATCCTTCAATATTCCAACTTGAGGCTTGAATTTTTCTTCAGTTCTTTCAGCTTGAGAAATGCCAAGCATGTTCTTCCTTTACAGTTTTCTAACTTCGAGTCTTTGCACATTTCATCATAATATTTTACTTTGTCTTCTCGAACCACACTTTGAAATCTTCTGTTCAGCTCAGCTCTTTTACTTCATCATTTCTTCCATTCCAGTCTCTTCTGACATACGTTCTGGTCTTTTCTTTCTTTCCTGTCTTTTTAATGACCTTTTGCTTTCTTCATGTATGATGTCCTTGATGTCATCCCACAACTCGTCTGGTCTTCGGTCATTAGTGTTCAATGCCTTAAGTCTATTCTTGAGATGGTCTCTAAATTCAGGTGGGATAGACTCAGGGTTGTACTTTGGCTCTTGTGGACTTACTCTAATTTTCTTCAGCTTTAACTTGAGCCTGCATATGAGTAATTGATGGTCTAATCTACAGTCAGCCCCTGGCCTTGCTCTGACTGATGATATGGAGCTTTTCCATTGTCTTTTTCCACAAATGTAGTCGATTTGATTCCTGTGTATTCCATCTGGCAAGGTCTACGTGTATAGTCACCGTTTATGTTGTTGAAAACGTATTTGCAATGAAGAAGTTGTTGGTCTTACAAAATTCTATTATGTGATCTACCGTGTTGTTTCTATTACCAAGGCCATTTCTTTCAACTACTGATCCTTCTTCTTTGTTTCCAACTTTCACATTCCAATCACCAGTAATTATCAGTGCATCTTGATTGTATATTTGATCAACTTCAGACTGCAGAAGTTGGTAAAAATCTTCAATTTCTTCATCTTTGGCATTAGTGGTTGATGCATAAATTTGAATAATAGTCATATTAACTGGTCTTCCTTGTAGGTGTATGGATATTATCCTATCACTAACAGCGTTGTAGTTCAGGACTGATCAAAAAATATTCTTTTTTGACAATGAATGCCATGCCATTTCTCTTCAATTTGTCATTTCCGACATAGTAGACCATACAATTGCCTGATTCTTCAGCTCATCAGTGCCTAGGATATCGATCTCTATGTGGTCCGTTTCATTTCTGACGACTTCCAATGTTCCTAGATTCATACTTTGCACACTCACGTTCCGATTATGAATGGATGGTTGATGCTGTTTCTTCTCATTTTGAGTCGTGGCACCTCAGCAAATGAAGGTCTTGAAAGCTTTACTCCATGCATGACCTTAAGGTCGACTCTCCTTTGAGGAGGCAGCTCTTCCCCGGTGGTGTTTTGAGTGCCTTCCAACCTGAGGGGCTCATCTTCTGGCACTCTATCAGACAATGTCCCGTCGCTACTCATAAGATTTTCACTGGCCAATTTTTTCAGGAGTAGACTGCCAGGTCCTTCTTCCTAGTCTGTCTTAGTCTAGAAGCTCCACTGAAAACTGTCCACCATGGGTGACCCTGCTGGTATTTTAAATACTGGTGGCATAGCTTCCAGAATCACAGCAACACGCAAGCCACCACAGTACAACAAACTGACAGGCGTGTGGGGCCCAGAGATTAGGATGAGGATATTTTAGGGGGCCTGCAAATAGCCTACCACAGACACCACTGTGGATTTGGGATAGAAAATGGGCAAGATCTGACTTACATGTTAGAAAATGGATTCCTAGCGCTCAGAAATGGCCAAATCCCCTTAAAGTCATTGTCTTTAACACCACCACCCCCCACACTGAAATTGTGCTGTATGGGCATGTGTAGCCTTGCAAAGGGGCAGTGTTGTCATGTCGTCAAAGAGATCCGTGGCCCCAAAAGGCTTAGGAGCTGCTGCTTTCCGAAGGGTGATTTTAGAGGACCACACTTCTCAGGTCCCTGAAGGAGTTACAAGGGTTTTGTTGTTCGTTTTTGTCCTTTTTCAGTTTTATTATATAACTGTGTAGCTGGATGAATTATTCCCAGTGATGACACCTGTGTAAGCACCACTCAGATCAAGCAACGAAGCATTTCCAGCCCCCCGCAGGCTCCCTCACACCTGCCTGAAGGTAATCTCCATTCTGATCCCATCATCACAAACTGTCAACCGTTCCCCTCCTGCTCCCAGCTCTCATCCCAGCTAAAAAGAGGACTTCGTATTTTTCATTTGGAATTTGAATTCCTCTTTTAAAAATCGAGGTGAAATTCACATCGCATAAGACCAACCATTTTAAAGTGTACAATTCAGTGGTGTTTACTGCATTCACAGTGTTGTGTGACTGTCAAAATTGGGACTTTCACCAGGGCAAAGGGGGACAGAGGGAGGAGGCACCACGGTGGGCAAGGCATGGTGGGGGACCTGGTATTGGCCTCCCTGCCCTGCCCTGCTGGTGGCCCAGGCTCAGGCACCTGGACGGGGTGGGGGGCTCCAGGAGCCCCTTTGTGATGTCAGCACCTTGCCTGGCACTCTTGTGGGCCCTGCATCTCCTCCCAGCTGCCTCCCCACCAGTCCAGAGAGGCAGCCAGCACAGGCAATGGGTTCACACTGTGCCAAGCTCAGCACGGGCCACAGCCGGGGCCACGAATCCTCCATGAAGAAGCTCGTGGCCTGCGTGAGTCAGGACAACTTCTCCCTATCATCGGAGTGCGAGGAAGAGGAGGAAGAGGAGGAGGAGGAAGAGGAGGAGGAGGAAGAGATCCCGGTGCAGGGCAAGCTGCTGCTGATGGAGCCCGAGCGGCAGGAGGAGGAGCCCCAAGAGAGGCCCATGGCCCAGCAGAGCGCCAAGCCCAAGCCAGCGCATTCCTGACTCGCGAAGATGGCCCAGGAAGGGGTGCCTGCCGCTGCTCAGCGTGAAGAACTTTCAGAGAAGAGTCAATAAAGAGTCTCCAAGGAATTCTCTTCCTCTGTGTGTGTCTGTGTGCATGTGTGTGTGGAGGGACCCGGCACGGGGCCCTGGGGGTTGAAGATCAGTAGTCAGTGAAGCTGCTCCTCACGTCCAGCCCGAGGTTCTCCCCAAGGCCACTCACAAGGAGGTGGCAAATATGGGGCCGGGGCTGGAAGGTGACTTCAGCCAGGCCTGCCCCTGGGCGTGGGGACTTCTGAGTCTGCAGAGACATGGGCTGAGAGCGCCCAGAGGGACGGGTGAGCTCCCCAACAGGCCTCCTCTGCTGCTCTAGCCACGGACAGTCTCTTCTTCAAGAGATGGTCTGGGAGTTCAGCAGGCTGGGTTCAGATTTCTTCTCCGCTAGCTGTGTTTAAGGGTGAGGCTAGTCATTACCCCACCGGTCAGTAAGGAGAACAAACTGAAATGCTGGGTGGGACCAGGCCTGACATAGACAGTGTAATTGATAGGGTCTTGTTACTGGGGTCGGTGGCCCTGGTTTTGGGGTCAGAGTGTGTGGAGGGGTCTGGTTCCTTCTCAGCAACTGATTCTTCTGCCCCCCTCTGAGAGGCACCCCCACACTCTGGGTGGCCACCTGTGCCCTCGCCAGGAGCTTACTCCTGCCGTTACCAAGGAGTCTAGCTCCAGAGGCAGAGCCAATGCACCATGAAAGCAATGGGCCAAGGATGCCCAGAGAGGCTGCTGGAGGCAGATGGATGCAGGCCCCATGTCCTCCGACTCCCAGTTCCGTGCTCCTTCTGCGACAAGCTTCAAAGTGTCTGCCACCCATCCTGCTCCCGGCTCCCAGAATCCTTTTCTTTTCGAAAGAAATGACAAATGTGACCTCTGCCCTGCTCTGCTCTCTCAGCAGTCCCCCAGGCAGCACCTGTCTGGGCCCCAGAAGTACCCTGAGCAGTGCTGGGGCTATCAGCACTCTGGGGAACCATCGTTTCCTTGGAGGCTAAGTGCCTCGGGTTTGAGGGGTACCCGAGGGTGGGGCTACCTCGAAGCCGGCAGAGGGCGACGAGGAGGAAAGGGGAGGCCCCTGCTGCCCTATGACTTCCACCCCTACTCCCGCTGCAGTCACCGGGGCCCTGAAGTTAACACTCCTGCAACAGTAGCTGGGTGGGGCAGGTTTGTTCTTGTCTGAGCCCCAGAGACCCACTCACCCATCCGTTCACTAAGCAAGCAGCCCACGCTGTATGCTGGGCACAGTGGCAGTCACCGGGGCCCTGGAATTAATAAAAGCACTCTGCTTTGAGGCCTGGCTCACAGTGACGGGGAGGGGCAGGCGGGGTATTGGGAGGGTCTGCACAGGGAGGCTCAGGAGGGCTGTGCGGAGGAGAGGCTGGCCTCAAGAGTGGACCCCAATCTCCACGCTACACCCTCAAGTGTGGGGATGTGGGAACCAGCAGTAATGGAGTAGGGGTGGAGAGAGGGTCCAGACCTGGAAAGTCTTCACAGAGTGGCCCAGCACCTCTCCACCAGACCCACTGAGCCCCCACTCAGGGCCAGGCCCTTAGAACCGAGTTGGCCACATGGCCCTGTGATCCCCACGGACCTGGGAGTGATCGTAAGGCTGGACTCGAGACGGCCAGGCCTGGGTTTGCATCCCAACTCTGCACTATTAGCTGTAGACCTCTGGGCCCGTTACTCAACCTCTCTGTCTCCTCCTTTCTAAAATGTAATGATCACGCCTACCTCACGGGGTTTGATGTTAGTCTCCTGTGGTTGCCGTAACAAATCATCACAAACTGAGCGACTTAAAACAACAGAAATTTATTCTCTCACAGTTCTGTGAGGCCAGAAGTCTAAAATCAAAGCGTCACCAGGGCCACACTCTCTCTGGGGAGAGGCTCCTTCCACGCCTTTTCCACCTTCTGGTGGCCCCGGGCGTTCCTTGGCTTGTGGCTGCATGGCTCCAATCTCTGCCTCTGTCTTCATGTGGTCTTTTTCCCTCCTTCTCCCTGTGTGTCTCCTCTTCTGACTCTTACAAGATACTTGTCATTAGATTTAGGGTACACCAGCTAATCCAGGATGACCTCATCTCGAGATCCTTAATAACATCTTCAGAGACCTGTTTCCAAATAAGGTTACATTTACAGGTTCTGGGGGTTAGGACGTGGACATGTTTTGGAGGGCCACCATTCAATCCTCATTGTGAGGTTCGAGGGCAGTGATGCCTTGAACCTGGCCCCCATGGATGTAGTCAGTAAATGAGGGCCTTTCCCATGTGTGCAATCTGACACGTTTATTAATAACCACAATAGAAGCGGATGATGGCAACTGTCCACAAGAGGCAAAGTGGCACATGGCAGCAGAGAGCGAGATGTGCCCTTGGCCTGGGGCCTGCTGGGGGAGGAGAGGTAGAGACAGGGAGTTCTACAAGGGGACCTGAGCAAGTACAGGCCCAGAGCACATGGGCTGAGCCCAAGGGCACGGGCCAAGATGTGGGCGGGGTGGGGCGAGCATGAGGAGACACCCAAAGACCAGGTCAGGGACGCGGGGGGAATCAAACAAGGCCCCATGTGCAGGCAGAGGTCTGGGCTTTCGTCTTGAGGTACTGGGATACCTGAGCAGGGGACGGTATCGTTAGTACTGCGTAGTGTAGCACAGGACCGGGCAGCATTTTGTTCCATTATGCATGGGGCCATGGGTGGGAGGCCAACTCGACAGCTAACAGCAACAACAACAGTGAGGCTCGGTTACAGAGAGGGGAGTAGAGGCAGGAGGTGGGAATCGAAGGGAGGGACACCCTTTTCCAAAGGCCTCCTGGGGCTTAACAGGCATTTCTGGCAGGCAAGGAATGATGCCACTCTGTCAGATAAGGAAACCAAGCCTCTCAAAAACCAAAATGAACGACCCAAGATTGCACATCAGCGCAAACTAGGATTTGAACCTAGTTCTCGAGCGGGAGATGGGCTTGCCAGGCAGACCCCAGAACCAACCATCAGTCCATTCAATTAACCAATCAATTCATCCTCCACCAATCTCTCTATCCAACCACTAATCATCTATCTGATCCACCATCGCCTGCCTAATCAATCATTCACTGTCAAATCGACTCTGACTCACGGTGACCTCATGCGCGTCAGAGTAGAACTGTGCTCCGTAGGGTTTTCAATGACTTTTCAGAAGTAGATCGCCAGGCCTTTCTTCCTAGGCACCTCTGAGTGGATTTGAACTTTGAACCTTTCGGTTAGCTGTTGAGCACGTTAATCGTTTGTACCACCCAAGGACTCCTTCGCCCACCTAGTCAGCCATTTAGTGGGGTTGGAGCTGTGCTCCTGGCATTCAAGCTGCCCAGGCAGAACAAAAAAAGAATGCTGATACTGTTACTAGACAGCGCTTATTGAGCTCTTACTGTGTGCTGGCCCTAAGCTGAGGGCTTGTCATAGGTTCTCATTTAATTCTCCTCATGTCCCTATAAGGTGAGCGAAGATGGGGAAACCAGGACCGGGAGAGGCGAGAGCCCATCTGACCGTGAGGAAGGAGCAGGTCTGCGGTGGAGACCTCTACCCTTAACCAACAGATGGGACTACCGACGGTGCCTCTGAGAGCTGCCCCGCCCTGGGGGTGGGGGTAAGGGGCAGGGGGCTTTGCCTGGCCAGGCCCCATCTGTTGCACCCTCTGTGGCCTGTGCCATCACAATCAGCCCCGACTATAAAACCGGGGACTACAGGGCCCCTGTAAAGCTGGGCCTGCTGGCAGAGGAGGAGGAGGAGGCCTTTGCCCTGCCAAGTGTGGCCTCCCATGGACACCAAGACGCAGAGCCTTCCCATCACCCAACCCCAGCCCCACAGCAACTCTAGGTCCCAAAGCCACATGTGCAGCCCGTGCAGCTGCAGCCACCACTGTCAAGGCTGCAGCCACAACTGCCGTCGGAGCCAGAGTTGCAGCCGGAGCCGGAGCTCCAGCCAGAGTCCACCCACCCACTGCAGCCTGGGCCACCAAAGCCAGAGGCCTCCCACCCACCGCAGCCTGGGCCACCAAAGCCAGAGGCCTCCCACCCACCGCAGCCTGGGCCACCAAAGCCAGAGGCCAAACCCTGGCCTGCCACCAAGGCACCCCAAACAGACTGTGTACTCCCACCACTCTGCCATGCGGTCCACTGCTCCTGGCAGCAGCTACTCCAAGAACAGAAAGACTCTGGGAGGAAAAGTGAACAAAAGGAAGGTCAAGAGGAACCGGCGGGCATACAAAACCAAGAGGCGGAGCTCAGGCCTTCATGCAGGTGGGGAAGGGCCACAGGGCCCGACAGATGAGGGGAGCAGCCCAGCTGGGCCTTGATGGGGGTGAGGTGAAGGCTCTGCCTCAAAGCCAGGTCACAGAGGAACCAGGCAAGGGCGAACAGGGGGAAGAGGAACAATGGCAGTGGGACAGTTGAATGCCTGATGCGTTGAGGGACTGGTTCTTCAGATAAACTGGATGGATCACTTGGAGGATGGTAGGATGGACAGATGGCACATTAGCTAGATGGAAGTATGGATGGGTGGATGAGCGGCTGGGGGATGACTGGGTAGAAAAATTTATTGGAAAACGGTTAGGTAGATGGATTATAGAAGGGGAAGATGGTTGCTTGGGTGGATGGATAAGATGCATTAGTTGGATGAGTAGGAAGTTGGATTGGATGGATGGATGGAAAAATGAATTGGATTTGATGTAGGTTGGCTAGACAAATTAGTTGGTTGGGTAAATGGCCGAATGGATGATTAATTGGATATAGTTGGAAGGATGTGGTTGGTTGATTGGATGGATGGTGAACTGGACATGCAGTTGTATAGCTGGTTGTAACTGGATGAGAAGAGAGGCTTGCGTGGACTGGATTAGATGGGATATAGCTGAATGTTGGATAAATGGATGGAATGAGTGAACTAATGGATGGCTGGATGATGAATGGGACAAACAGATGGATAAATGGATGGATTAACATAGGTCAAAAGGACCTTGAGGATAGTCTTAAACTTCCTCCCATGTCCCAAATTCGATTACAAATGAGCACTCCAAGACCCAAAGGACAGGGTTAAGTAACTTCATGAAGCACTCAGCTATAAAAGGACCCTTTCCCATTCCCATCCCTTAGGGCGGAAATACAACTGATGAAATGGCAGCCCCCCGGCCTGTTCCTGTGTCAGTTTCATCCAAACGAGAAATGCCACCACACGTGGAATGCTAGAAGTCAATCTTATCGCAGGAACATGTTACTACGGTGATTTCTATGCAACGTTGATTAAAGCTTGTACACTGGATGACTCACCTTTCTTCTGTGTCAGCATTGTGATTTCACTAATAAAGGTGTCATGTATTTAGGGGCCCAGTTTGGAAGCACAGGAAGCACAGGTTACTTAAGGGGAAGGGACATGCCTAGTGATAGGACCTCATGAAAAGTGTAAGTATTCAATGCCAGCGCACGGACAGGAATGAATGGGGAGGGGTGGATGGAGACACCAAGAAGACTTTGAAGTGGACAGGCAACACTGCTTGTGTGGGGTCCTCTTTGCCCAAATGCTCCCATCTGCATACATACACACACAGACACACATGTGCACATACAAATAGGATGCCCATATGCTATATATGTGGTCCACATTCAGGAGCAAGCCCAAGGGCATGGCTGCAGCTTCTGTTCCTAGAGAAGGCAGGAAGAGGGGTCAGGAATGTGCATTTTGCAGCCCAGGATCAGTTTCCTTGCGGTGTGACCTTGGCCTGGTGATCAACCTCTCTGAGCCTCACTTAGTCCCTCTGCAAAATTAGTACCTATATTAAAGCTGTTATTTCCACAAACCTTTAAGAGGCCAAGTGTGTTCTCAGAGCTGTGCTCGGCTCTGGGGACAGACGTAAAAAGGACACACAGGACCCTGCCCTCATGGAGCTTGCAGTCCAGAGAAAAAACACAATAAACTCAAACACAAGGCTCATAGGTCAGGATAAGTCCTAGCGAGGGAGCAGGCTGATGGAGTGCAGAGCAACTCTGGGCAGGGTTGGGAAGGGAGGTCTGGCAAGGCCCTGTGGACAGCTAAGGGTAGAATGTCCCAGACAGAAGGATCAGCATGTGCAAAAGCGCTGAGGAGGAAAAGAGCTTAAGGTGTTCCAGGAGATGACCAGAGTAGCGGGAACAGGGTAGGCGGTATAGGACACAGGGTGCAAGAGGCAGGGGCCAGATCACACGGAGGGGAGGAGCTTGGACAATCTGGGTGTGATGAGAAACCACTTGGGAGTGACATGATCTAGTGTGTATTTTTAAGGATGGTATTGGCTGCTGTGTGGACATTGGGTTGTAGGGGACAGGAAGGGGCAGGAGGAAGAACCGTTAGCAGGCCACGGACCAGGGGAGTGGCACTGGAAAGGTGCCAAGACAGATGGGCCGGAGGGAGCAAATTCCGTCCAAGATTATGTCCAGAGCCCGGCCTTCCTCATTCCTCCTTCAGCAAACAATTACTGAGCATCACCTTGCCCGGGCACTGGGCTCAGGCCCTGGAGGGAAGCCAAAGTGAGCTTCCCAGTGAGTTAGGAGACAGGGGTGTACACTAACAAATTAATCACAAACACACCTCAGCTTTCTCATCTGTGAGGTGGGGCGCTCGTGCTAGCTGGCTGGGAGGGTGCAACAGGATCATAATGTGTTAAGTGTCGTCTTTGTGTGCTTTGCACACGGGACTAGATGACACTTAACACATTGAATTATGTCCCCCCAAAATGTGTTGTAAATCCTAATCCATACCGGTGGTTAACATAACAAAGACAACCCATTTTCAAATGGGATTATAACCATGGGTTGTCTTTGTTATGTTAAAGAAGCCATATCAGTGTAGGGGGTGTTTAGCACAGAGGAGCAAGCAGAGATGGGTGAAGATAGGCACCATGCCACATGAAGATCAAAATCAATAACCAAACTCGTTGCCGTCAAGTTGATTCCAACTCATAGCAACTCTATAGGACAGAGTAGAACTGCCCCATAGGGTTTCCAAGGAGCAGCTGATGGATGCCAACTGCTGAGCTTTGGTTAACAGCCACAGCTCTTAACTACTGTGCCACCAGGGTGCCACCAGGGCTACACGTGAAGACCACCAATGAGCAAAAGAACAAGGACCTTCCCCCAGAGCCAACAGAGATGCATTTCCCTAGAGCCATTGCCCTGATTTCAGACTTAGCCTCCTAAACTGAGAGAATCAACTTCTGTGTGTTACAGCCACCCACCTGTGGTATTTCTGTTATAGCAGCTTAGAAAACAGCAAAGACATTTGCTGTTAAGGCATATAAAGTGCTGGATTTTTTTTTTTTTTTTTTTTAAGGATCATTGGCTGCCAGATAAAATGATCAGGGAATGGTCAGGGTCCGAGTACATTAGCTTCTGACCTTCAAACTCCACCAGTCTGGGCTTTAGGGACTGACTCAAGTTCGCACTGGCTCCCGCACTCCTTCGCTGGGGCACCTTGGACTAGTCAGGTCTACCCCAAGACTCAACTTGCCTCATCCATCTCATGGGGTAATAAAGGGCTCGGCAGCTGATGTGTGTGAAGGCGCCCAGGTCACAGTTATTTCCTCTCTTGTTTCATTTGGGTCTTGGGCTGAAGGATTGGGGTCCAGCAGGTGGAGATGGGAGATGGCGACCACGTGGAGGGGAAAGGGACTAAGACATTGCTCAGGGGAGCCTTGGGGGAAGGCCTGGAAGAAATCTGACTTCTGCAGCACTTTGGAGCCCGCCCCAGGCAGTGGTGTGGAGTAGAAAATCCTCTTTCATATCTCAGCTGAGTGGCCCTAAGCAAGTCACTTCCCCTCTCTGCGCCCCAGTCTCCTTGAGGGATAACAGTGCCTACCTTGACGGGTCACTGTGGGGGCTCACTGAGAAAACGCACATGTAAGCATCCAGCCGAGGGCCTCAGTACAACGTCAGTCCCCTTTCCCTTGGTCCCTTTACCCCTCCCTACAGCCAGGAAATGCACCCAGTTCAGGTTGTTACCATGCACCTCCTGAGAGGGCTGAGGAGGGGCCCAGGCAGTCCAGGAAATTACCATCTACACCTACTCCTCACTTATCGACTATCTTGTTAGCCCACACCTCGCATTTACGACACCAGCAAAAAATCTATTCGACTATTTTGTGCATTAATGATATACGTCCGGCAGTAATGAATGCCGGCTCTACGGAGACCCAGGTGGTGGGATCCTGTGGTCCCAGCCGCCTGCTTGTGCCCGCTTGGCCCAGGGCCACGCACCCCTGCTGCTTCCTCTCTCAGCCTCCCACTCACTCACCAAGGTCGTCCATGGCGGGGCCACGGGTGCTGGGACCCAGCTCGGTTCGGCGACGCATTCGCTGCCTGTCCTGGGGCCGCTCCTCTTTGCCCCACAACTTGTCTGCCATGAGCCTCCACCTGAAATGCATTTACATAATGATGTAGTCATCTTCCATTTTGTGATCTGATGGGTTCATCCTCCATTTTCATGTAATGCCGATTTTCACATAACAATCTGGTCTTTGGAACTTAACCATATTGATAAGTAAGGAGTGGGTGTATTGAGCACCTACAGTATGCCACATACTGGGACATAAATGTTTTCAACTGCTTTATTTCACTATTGCTCCCACTTTACAGATGAAGAAGCTGAGACTCAGGGGTGGAATGACTTGATCAAGGTCTCCCTGTGGGCAGGTGTGTGATGGATTCAGACTTTGCCCAGGACCTCCTGGTCCCGTATTCAACATGAAAGGCCACACTGTGCCCTGACAGTCAGTCACACTGCAGCATGTTTTGAGAGATGTGGTGGAGGCAGAAGGTCAGAGGATGAGGACAGGGACTTTGACTCACCAGGCGCCTCCCCACTCCTCTTATTATAGAGATGTGTGTGTGCTTCGCAGAGAGAAGAAGTGAACTGGGAAGCAGATGGACCGGGTTATGTGTGTGGTTTATGGACCCATCCATAACCCCATGTTTTGCTGAAGTCAACACTTGAGAAGAAGCATGAACACACTCAGATACCCGGTCACACAAAATACAAAGAAATAGCCATTCAAACCCACTCAGACAGACTTATGTTCACCTGTGGACTCGCAAATATACACCCTCTCCACCCCCCCCAACAGAAACACGCACACAAGCAAGCACCTTCAGGCCTGCCTGACACAAGGTGACGAGAAGAAAAACAATCAAACCACAGACTCATTCTTTCACTTGCTTGGTTTAGGGTGGGGCGGCAGCAGGCTGGGGGCAGGCCAGCTGGAAACCCAAGTTCAGGAAATAAAGAAATAGATGGTAAATTCAGCCACGGAGAGGGTAAGCGGATTCTAAAGGC